TGGTCACTTGGTGCACCGATGACAGGCATTCCCTTCCTATGCATAAACTTACTAACTTAGTAGACAGGACCTCATGACTTTTGAAAGGCACTCAGTTCGTTCGTATTCTGCTTTTCCATGCCGAAAACTGCATGTGTTCTAGCAGTCGCAACACTGTAGCGGCTCCTAGCTCCCCACCTACGAACAAGTGCGATTTGTCTTTTCCGGCTGCTTAAAGAATAGAGATCACTCACAAACATATTGATAAGTTGGTAGTACGATTCTTCAACGTCAACTCTGAGAGGAATTCGAATGGCGGAGAAAACAACATACAGTACCAGCAGTCACAGCGCAAAAGGTGCGCTCAAGGGATGGGAATCGTCTGTTATAAACGCCTGTTATAAACATTCTTAACGAAATGGAAAAGTGTCTCCGAAAATTACTGCTGATCGCTACTAATTTATAAAGTGGGGAGCTGTGATATCACATAATACAAGAAATACTGTGTGTTTACTACCAGGTTTCCCTTCACCAATTCCAGATCTCTCAAAAACGCATGCAATATTCTGATTGCGATGATTTCATTTAATGATGGAGCACAAGCCCTCTCAAGTTACGTGTTGCTACTCTCCGACGTAATGTGAGTGGGGGAATTTTGTTAAATTCTTATTTATTTCAAATCTGTACAGAGTGACATTTTTTACCACTGACTAAGTCTGATATCAATAACAGTTAACACCAAAGTATTAGGATGCAAAGTTTTAAGTTCATGGAGGTACTAATAGCTTCGGGAGAAGATGCGGCTACTTGTCGTTTGAAGGCTCTGCAGTGTTCCCATTAGTTGAGTCCTTTCAGCTTGCGATCTTTTCTATTATTACGCCTGAAGGCAGTGTATGAGAAGATCAAAGTGCTTTTTGGTGCCCTCTTATGAAGTCTATTATTGTCTCCCCCTGCCGTAGGACCCACTTTTCCTGTGTTGCAACACACAGACATACCTTCCATAAGTATGTCACTGTAGACTACAAGTCCACATAAAATGGGGAGGCAGGGCGTTGTCGAACTCTTGAGATAACCCTAGGTTGACTCCACACTGCTTAGAGCCCTAATTTCTTTGGCTTTTATTTTTTCACCCTTCCCTTCCTCACACTAGCACACCTCGTGGAATGGCTAATGAGTTTATTATACATCAGTTTGGTCCCCCGTCAACCGCCGGGACCTCCTTCCCTTGTGTAGGCTTTACGTCTTGGAATGACACACCAAAACCTAACCTCACCCTAGGTCTGTTGGTGATTGGTTTTCCGCTTCCCTTCCTCAAACACCCCTCCCCTCCCTCCACTGCCCTCCAGCTGCCACTGCAGCACCATGTGGAATGACGGAAGTGTGCTAAGCAGGTGTTTATATAGCCGTTGGAGTGTTATCACAATATCCCTACAAAACATTGATATCTCAAATCCTGTAAGCTACCCGATTTGTTAGCGGTTTGTTTATCCCATGAGCTTCCTTCTCACTCACTTCATTTTGCGGACGGACACACATACATACATACATACATACATACATACATACATACACATACAGATACACAAACCGACACACAAAGTTAGCGCTTAAAAAATAAAATAGAAGGATAGACATAGATTGCGCAGTTCTCAACACTTCGTCGCATTGATAAAGCAGCACCAGTGAACTGCCCAGTTTTGTAGACAGTGGCGTAGGTCAGCCGAGTTATCGAGTTCCCAGGTACGAAAAAGGCATTTTATTGATAGAGAAGAAGGTAGACATAAATACTTTCCAACGTACCGTGTTACTGCCTCATATACCAGTTTTCACCAGAGACCTCCATTTCCCTGCTTATGCTTCACCGTGCTACGCTCACTTCCATTTGTAAGGTCAACACCTCTCAAAGTGAACGAGAGCAGTGATAGCTTCTTATACGTGATAAATCTTATTTTAATCATTACACCACGTTAGTATGGAACTTAAGCACTCTAAAGAAACTAGACTTTATGAGCGACTGGGTTCACCCACGTGAAGTGGTCGTAAGTGTGCTCAGCGGGTGTTTATGTTACAATGAGAGCGTGCTCATAGCCATGGCAGTATGTGCTTTTAATGATACTTTGACACCAACTGCAATACTAACACCACGACAGGTATTTACTGAATCGTTCTTTTCTCCTAGCGCTCACCCTCCCTTTCCAACGTGCAGCTACCGTGTGGAAAGGCCGAGTGTGTTTGGAGAGTGATTATGTAACAGTGAGGGTGTCACCAAAGTCATGCCATCACAAATAATCGGTATCGCAAGACCTGTGAGCTTCTCAGTATTGTTGGCGTACGGTTTATTCCATTCGGACGCAAAGCACAGCGCGTTAGGGTTGATATAAGTATAGGAATAAAAATGAAATGAATAATGTAAAGTGGACATGTGGTCCTTATAGCATAGTTTCGAGTTTGACTTGAAGAAAGCGTTTCTTACATATAATGTATCAATAACAGTGAGTAAGAAATGCGCAGCGATTACTAAGGACGATGACCAAAGCTGACTACTATCTACGTCTTTCCTTGATCTAAAACAAACTGTTAGACTTCTGATTTCAGAATGCCAAATCAGCGACTTCGGCAGGATATCTGTGCTTACTGGCAGGCGTTACCCTTATTCGCCCTTATCTTTTCACCTATATTGCTCCTTGACGTGGCGATTGATAGGCTAGTTGCACTAACAAGTTACTAGTAAGTTTGCACTTCACCACTCAGATGTTGCTTCGTTTCCACGTTCGACGATCAATTATGAAAATTTCACCCCAGTTCATACCACGCGAAAATAGTGAAAATTTTAAATTTGGGGCAACGATCAGCAAGCCATTCCAGCTCATGCATAAAGTTGTGTGTCTGCTTTCTGACTATCCCTTTGAGGACTGTCGTGCAAGAGCGGTTTCCAAGAATGACACGCCATTGATGTAGTGGTCAAATCAGCCCGACCAGAGCAATGTCGACTTACTTCAAGAAGAGCTGTAAGGCCAGGAGGCAGTAAAAGATCTCCGAATGTCGGAGGAAAACGGAGAAGAAAGCAAACAGAATTCAAGAAAGAATAAAAGAAGACCCTTCGGTCAATGCAGTGTCTTCCGCTTAGGTTAAGCGGAGCGATCTATTCTATTGGTCTAAAGATAAATTAGACGAGCCTAATCTTAGTTGTTGATTGTTCTGAGGATCAGCTAGCTTTTTACAATAATTTGCTAGCCGATCTTTGCTAATCTTTAGGAGTTTTCAGTGGAATGAGCTTCCCAATACTCTCTTTTTTGTACTCAACAAATATGTTGGTTTGTTAGGTATATTAACGTCTAGGAAATGTCTAGTTTTTTACCAAGATTCATGGAAGGGTTAGAGTCATGGTCGACAGAAACTGAAACCATTTCCACCCGCTATTGCTCATTCAAATGAGGGTCGTGACCAAGATCTCTACAGCCGATTTTGTTCTGTTCTCTACTAAAGAAAGTAATCTAACCCAACTGAGGTGAACAGCTACCCATTCATTACCTAGGTAGGCTCATACAAACGTGCAAAGCAAACTTGACATTTCAGCAATACTTTCACTCTTACTCACAAAAAAGCATATATAGCAGTACATGTCACGCCAGCGCTGTTGTACACTCTCACCATGATGGCATGGATTTATGTTGACTTGAATTCAGATGAGTGAGTGTCACTATTCCTTTTTATGGGTAGTTGAAAACAGGATACCTACGATTACGTTCTAAATACATCCTCTACTAATTTCTATGCCAGATACGAAGTACGAAAATATGTTGTATGTACCGTTATCGCGCCTATAAGACAAGCTGTACTTTTCGTCATCACAGCCGTGACTATAATAGTCAATCTCCTGATTATTCTCTGCTATACTATCCTCGGTTGCTTCTTCCTTAAAAATGGCCGGGACGGTAAGCAACACAACTATTCACAATGACAAGAACGATTCGATGACGTTTTGTTGAGGATTGGGTACAGAAGTCTCTTCAATATCAATTTTACATCAATTAGTAGTATGATACATTGCTCATTTGCATAAGAGGAACTTCTGTTTCTTCTTCAATTTTTGGCTACTTCACCATGGACCCCATTTAATGCAATTGCTCGGAATATTGAGCTGTTACTCATCTTCAAACTTCACTGATATAAACACCCAATGTAGGATTCTACGGTAAGGTCTGAGAGAAGGAACTCAGTCGAAAGGCAGGCAGGCCCTCTAAGAGGCGGAATCATGCACATTTTGGAGCGAATGGTACACTCCGGCAGCCCAGTGGGGCTCTGTCCATGCCGCGCGCCCCACACTCCCACCGATGGCTAATTCTTCAGCTGAAAGAGCGCTAGCTGTGAACCGATGAGACAAAGCTCGCATAAATGTGAAGATCAATGGGCCAGTAATGGCTACTATTTCTCGGTTTCCTGCCACCTTTCATCGATTTATCTTCATGCGTGCAACACTGACGCATCTACTCGACTTTTGATGAGCTGCGTTTTCAATGCGAACTTTGTCCTTGACCACGACAACTGTGCAATTTGACCGTTTCAGCAGGGTGCCATATCAGTCTATCAGTCTTGCCTTTCTAGTTCGTGCCTTTGGACGGGGTAAATTTATGAGCTGATCCTCTGCATCTGTGGAGGTTCTCCTCATAATAAACCTTTTACAGGCCGCATGAAGAAGATTTATCGGTCATTAGCAATCGCCACCTTAATGGCGCTGTTCGGGTGGTTCACTACGGCTGTTGTTGGAACTCTTGCTCAGATGCGTCTCTTGGATATTTCTGAACTAAATGGCCAACTTCTCAGCGGTGTCTTTGCTACTTCGACTAACTCAATAAACTTTCTTATTTACTATGCTTCCAGGTTAGATTCTGAATTAGGTTGAAATACAAGTCAAATAGAACAAATTCAGTGAAGAGTATCACCGCATGTCTCACCTCTATTTTCCACGCCTATATCGGAAGAGACGCAGAAGCTCGGTTAAGTTCGTCACCAGTCTTCTCGTCAGAAGGCAGACTTAAAAACAGTCATTCAAATAATTTATTATGTTGCTGATAAAGTGAATGACAGTTGAGACTCTCATGATATGTGAACATGAAATATTAGACCGTGTAGAATTCGGTGCTGGGCAATGATGGGTCCTAATGTTTTTGGACTGATGAACATCCATTTTGTAATTGGAATCGGTCCTATTTGGTTGTGTGTATGTTTTCGTTAAGCGTTTTACATCGTGTTATTATTACTTTTCACGTATGCCTTCCGCAGACGTGATAAACTTGTGACTTATAACATTCTGAAAGAATGTACGTGCGGTCAATCTATAGAATTGCTATCAATGGGCGCATATGATTGGTCTTGAAAGGACTTTTTTGATTTCATATTTTCAAAACTTTTTAAGCTTAAGACCAGAGGTCTCTAAAGAATTATAGAAATTGTTCAATCCTTCAACAATTTAAAAGCCATCGAGTGTAATGTCTGAATGTCCGCCAACTGTACCGAAATATCATGAGAGCTCAGGATTCAGAGCTCTTTGATATACCCACGACAACATTGCTACTAATTTTTGTTCAATCAACGATGTGCGACGGATTTAGTCCGTGACCCATAGAGAAATGGATTACGAAATTTGAAAATAATACCGCTGAATTACTCTGCTCGTGGTGTGTCCAACCGTGGAAAGACTTCTGACTTCTTTTACCTATTTAGTCCTTATTTTTAGGGAATCATCAAACTATCTGAGGAAGACTTTCAGCTTTCACTTTAGAAGTCTCTCAAGTTAGAAAGAAATAGATCATGATGAAACATTGTACGGTACGCTAGGCGGATTCGTGAGATACGGTGGAACAAATTTCTCAGCTGTGAGTGTGAGGCAAGAGTATGAAGAAAGGTTTATTGAAGAAACAGAATCAAGGGACGGATCGGGATTGGGCGATCAAAGAAACCCGCTCTGTCGATCATATGGCTGTGTCTGCAACCATAGAGGTGATGCCGCGCTCGTGACACGCTATTAAACCCTGCTCTAGCATTTAGGACCACATGACTACATCTATGACCGCCCACCGGTGCGTGGTTGGCTTAAAGCGTGAAATCAATTGGGTCGATTGCCGACCAGCTGCTTTCACGGAGCCAGGAATGACCGGCTTGTCCGAAAACTCGTCGGGCATGCTTCCTCTTAAGCCAGCCTTCTTCGCCGCTGTTGGGGAGAGAGGTTCTATTCCTACCCGTTCCTAACTTAAACAATTAGAATAGGTGCCTTGTGCGAAAGGCACTGGGGAGCGAATGGTGTCGGGCGAGCACGAGGAGCGGACAGGAAACTTCCGTGCACGGCGTGTTATCCCAACGTTGAGCCACACAAGTTCCTCTACTCAGCCGCTAAGCCATCTCCAATAACCCTAGGTCTTCTCCCATGGGCCACTACAGCTCCTATCAAACAGCCACCAAGGCACGCCGAAGCTGGGACGCTGGAACGTTGGATTGCTGTAACTCAGGAGCGCCGGAGTTCTGGAGCCGGCACTACTTCAGTGGAACATGGACCCCTCTAACTGAGATCTTCTCGCGCGAGTCGTTTCCCTCTGGCTTGAGTGGCCTCTCATGACCCCCCGATCAACCTCTACCACCTCCTTTTCGACATTCACCGCTCAGACCATCTGATCTACAGCTGATTTCTTGAGGCCGGCTTGTACCTTTTGAAAACTTTTGATCTATTTTGTTTGCTAACTGCTGTTTCAAAGGCGCGGATCGCGTTGTGACGTTTCACAAGAGTGCTGAGCTGTGGGCAAGCCTTTCCTCCTAGGCGAGACGGTAGTTTAATCGGTAGCGCAACGGCCGAATGCTAGAGGGTGAGGGTTTGATTGCCGCCCGAGGTGGGTGTATTATCCATAACTCAGCTATCCTGTGACAAAAATTGTTAGCAAATATTGATCTGTCGCAACATTCTCAGAAGGCCAGAAAAAAAGGACGCTGCTGCGTCCTCCACGTACCGCTCTTTAATTGATTAGCGATTTCATCTCGGCGCATCAGCTTCGCTGAATACCGATTTTACACGGGAGCTTTGTGAACTGAAATATAATAAAAGGAGCTTTGAGCTTCGTTATCAAATGTCGTCATCTACGTAGCTCACCCTACTGACGACAATTTTGACATGACGACAACAATTTCCTCCTTTAGGAGAATCTCAAATGCGACGCCTCAGGTCTAAGCAAAATTGTCATCCATGTACCCAACCGCAACGTGGGAGCGGCGAGCAGCTCCATCGACTCCAGCCACGTTGCTCACGGATGATGGAGGAAGCAAATGAATGGAATAAGTAGCTGTACATGGCTTCTCTGAACCTGGAGAAGATCTTCGACAGAGTGGCACGCCGACTCACCTGGGAAGCTCTCTAACATCAACAATTATCAGAAGCCCTCGTCAAAGCTGTGCAGCTGGCTTACCTTAACTCCGTGACTGCACAAAGATGGGGTCCCCCGCAATCTCTGATTACTGTTGAGGGCCATAAGGATTGACCTTTCACCAATGCTCTTCCATGAACCATGCCGAGAGAACATCCGGAGAAGCTTCAACACTCGGTTATCGTGACGATGTGCTGCTTATGATCGATCAAAGAGAAAGTTAGAAAAGGCGTGTCAACCGCTGGAAGAAACAACTCGATGATCATGGGCTCAAGCTCAACATAAATAAGACCATAGACTTAACATAAAAATAATGTTGAATATATGAGCGACATGGCAACAAAATCGTCAAATATTACAGGAGCGCCCCTACTAAAGACGGCGAAGTTCTCATATCTTGGTCATGCTCTCTGCGGACACTGACACGAAAGCCGACACGACTATCAGAATCAATGCATCATGGAACAAATAGCAAACGGTCACCGGTATTCTTTGCGACAAGACCGACCCTCCTGTGTATAAGAGGTACACCACAGTCGTTAAGCCTGTCGCCACTTCTGCTGCAGAAACGAAACAGATGACGGCTGATGGATCCAGGTCATAGGCCTTTAGACCACGCTCGCAATGAAGACATCCGAGAAAAGATCAGCGTCCAGCTTGTTGCTAACCCCCTTGTTGCCTCTCCGTTGGTACGGTCATGTCCTACGTGATCCCCTGACGCAAGGTCCAGGTTGGCAGACCATATAATCTTTGCCGGTACACGCCCCAAACGGCCAACCCAGAAAGCGGCGGCTAGGCAATTTGAAGTACGATGTGAATGCTGCTGACCTGCATGCTGATGCATGGAACTGGGATCGCTGAAAACACTGGCGGAAAAAGCATACCAGGCAAAAGTTGGACAATGGACGCTAAGAAGAAGAAGAAGAGAAAATTAC